AAATCCTATTTTTGTTATAAGAATAGAACTTGTGCACTGTGGTAGAGTATAATTCCATTGTGGGTTAAATTTATTTTGATAAAGTCTCACGTAGTGTTATGCAGTAATATTTACTGATGACCACGTTTCGAGCACAATTTATTACTGCTCATAATCATATCAAGTTACTCACACAACTTTCTAACTTCGTTTATATAATTCCATTATTTTTCACCACTTGATTTGATTGGTAGTAGTATTTTGTACCTTGCAATGACTGTAAGGTCAACTACATAGGTCAAACTAGTAGATCGGGAGTAGTCAGATTGTCAGAACATAAGAATTTAGCTAAGGTTAGAATGATTGACTCCGCGAAGATAAGTAATTTAGAAAAAACTAAGCGACTGCATTGCATGCATTACCGCACAATCACACAATAGGGTGAGACAACGTTAAAATTCTAAAAAGTAATATAGACAGGTGGAGACAGAGGTTGATTACTGAATATGTGTTCAAAGAATCTACACCCAACACTTGCAATAGGAATGACTCATCACTCATATCAGAGGTATAGAGAATATTACTACCAATCAAATCAAGAGATGAAAAATAATGGAATTATATAAACGAAGTTAGAAAGTTGTGTGAGTAACTTGATATGATTACGAGCAGTAATAAATTGAGCTCGAAACGTGGTCATCAGTAAATATTACTATATTTTGCTCGAAATATTACCAAAAAACGTATCATCGTGTGTAAATTATTGAAATATAATTATACTTTATTTGATCTGTTCCACAATACTCAAACGTTTTACTGACATTAATTACTGTATAACACTGTGAGACTTTATCAAAATAAATTTAACCCACAATGGAATTATGCTCTACCACAGTGCACAAGTTCTATTCTTATATCAAAAATAGGATTTTCAGATGAAAATGTTAATTTTGAATTAAGGCACTTATCTTATATTTTAAGATTACTTTCCAATTTACTTTTAGTCAAGTTTATTCATTTTCATTGCTGTAGATAAAAAGCTGAAGTGTTTGTGAGTTTAGCTAATGCTGTTTGAATTTCTCACATATATATATGACTGCAGGAATATTTTGATAGACACTTTTCTGTACCTTTTAAGTTGTCTGTCCCAATTTCCTAAAAATTTTGTAGTGAATGCTGATAAGTGGCTTAATAACCTCCACTATTGCTTAAGCTTCTCTCTCAAGCTTATCCTTCGAAAAAATTTACTAGAATGGCAATAAAAGCCTACAGATTATATTATGCAGCCTGAACAACTCAAAGGTGTGATAAAAAAATAGTACTTAGAGCTACCACATGTATCTATATGACCTAAATATTTAAAAGAATACTTGTTCTCATGGAGAGTCCAAATAATTGAAAATGTCGTCTAAAAGGACAATGAAAGCTTCGAAATTAATTCAGTCAGCTAAGAGAACACATTCAAATGAGAAATTAAACTATTAGAATGCAAATGCATTTCCATTTTATCACAAGGATCTGAAATATACATGATAGGGAAGGGTCATTTCATTCAAGGCTTTTTAGGGTGTAATTCATATATAACAGCCTCGTAAAAATGTAGAATCGGTGGATATTTGAACACGTATCAATGAAAATATCACGAAGCTAAATAAAAAATAGGTTTTCCAATGGTCCTCTAACAGATGTCAATTCATGATGAAATCCTGAAACTAACGAAATCCCTGCAAATCAATACTTGAATATCGATTTGATGTTCACTAGTAATTAGCCCTATTGGGGAAGGTAGTTATCCGGGGTTCTAGTGGGAAATCGTGACCAGTAGAGTGCAGCAGGTCGGGTGTGAGGACAAATACTCGCCACGGAAGACATTGGCGAGAGGTCGCCTTATGTCGTGAATTGGCAGAAGTTGCAGTTAATGAACTGGCCATTGGATCGGGTCCCAGTGGCTTATTGGTCTACGAGCTCGCTAGCCTTGTAGCCAGAAGGTCCTGGGTTCGAACCTTGACGATGGGTGCATACTGCCGAAGAGCCTCAAACTAGGCTGATGGAACAGCTGCCAAATACTTCCTGCAGGTTTTGAAATAGTCCTTCAACTGATGTCAGTTCATAATGAATTCCTGAAACCAATCAAATCCCTATAAACCAACACTTGAAAACAAATAGTATTAAGTATACTAAAAGTTACGTAAACACTAATTCTGTTCAATTTTGCCGCATTCCTGGAAAAAAATGTTGTGTCTGTATACATATACATACAGTTATACACAACGATTTACTTTCATAGTCACATTTGAACCTTATCTAACATTATTTATAGACGCACGGATAACTCCATATTTATACGAATTTTGTTAAGCTTTATCAGTAATCATTTTCCAGTGAATTATATACATACAAATCAATAAACAAATATGCATTACCTGACGATAAAAAGTTGGTTGAAACACTGAATTTCGATAGAGAAAAGTTTTTTTACAACAGTAAGTCTTTACTTAGTACAGCAAGTCTAAATAATTGTAAAAGCAAATCTATAAATACACCTACATTAGTGTTATCATTATAACACTGTTGATATCAGTGAGGCAAATAATTTCAAGTATTATTATCTATTCCACATCGCTGTTTTGACAAGAAGAGAATTTTTATGTAATTCATTTGAACAAATTTAGGTTGATTCAGTCACTGCTATTACAACTACTCATGTAGCTATCGGGACGATGATCAGAGTTACTCCTGAACTAGTCATATTTCTCTGGGATTGAAATAAACAGAACTCATACGAAATAAGTAGAAAATAGTTGTGTAGTGCAAAGCTTTAAGCTGAAAAGAAACACAACCAGATTAGCGCCAGTCCTTCCTTAGTTACAACTCATGTTATGTCAACGAACAACAACTGGGAATCTTAAGGTTTTCTCTAATTTCAAACATATTACAAATAAACTGTAATTAACTAGACAAAGAAACAACATTTCGAATAATTCGAATGTAGATTTCGCCACAAACCAACAACAGTTAGAGGTCAGTGAGAACCAGGGAGCACCAATAATCTATGCATCAATGTCCAGCTCACTGATGGCCATTTGGATGGATGTCTCGAAGCTGTACTGAGAATCTGAGTCCACCATATCCAACTGAGTTGGATACTCACCGAGGTACTGTCTGAAAGTACCGCTGTATTACAAACTGACAGAGTTAGAATTCATAGGTCACTGAATTCCGACCCAAGTTGCTGAATGCTCAACAAGTTTAGTCTCATGACCTTAATGTCTCAGGTTTGATGCCTGTTAAGGTGTTGAGTATGCACTGCCAAACAATCCCAAAATATGACGAAATGACTGTCCATTTCTCCCTGGCTTTCACTGACCTCTAACTGAAGCTGGTCCTTGGCGAAATCGAAATTCAAATTATTATTTCAAATCCCTACAAAAACCCATTATCTGAAATTTTGATTCTCATGCTACAACTTAAAAATGTATAATTTATAATACAAGAATTTTAATCGATAAAAAAAGAGATTTTCTTTGCTTTCTAAGTCATCTAGTATCCACTTAAGTTTGAGTAAATTCGTGTTTTTCACTAATAAATTAAAAACGTCACTATCTTACATCATCTCAAGTTTCCCTTAAAACTCTACAGTTGATTATCGCACAGAGTATTCGGAACATGTAAAGAGAACATAAATCTTATTTATGGTCCGACATGCAACACGTGATTTAAAATATTTTCCTTCATATATTTCTATTTTTCAATAATAATAAACGAAATACGTGTTCACATAACAACATCAAATTCGCCTGCATTTCAGGTTAACATTAGCAGCACAAAGTGTAAAGTAATATTTGAGCGCATATCAATACACTGAAATTCCTTTATGAGCATTTTTTAATTTAGTTGTTAAATCGTTACAATACACAATTCGAAGGTTCTGCTGAAATGATAACATAATACGTGATTCGTTATTTTACGCTTATACTCAAACCATGCTTCAGATATCTGACATAGTAGTCAGCCAAATGCCATATCTGAGTTCCTATTACTTTTTATCAGTTTGTTACTGGATCTTGAAATTTCACACTTGAACAAAGTAAGGGAGAATTAATGTGGAAGAATCATTTACAAGTATGCCTAACCCAGTAGAAAAAACACATGTTGATGGCTGGTTAACAGTAACTCACTTAAATAATAGACTTAGCAAGAATTAACAGCTTGAAGAGAGAGAGAAAAAAGACAACTGCTTTATTTATTGATGATGAAAACTTTTGAAAGTCAAATGATGCACTAATTTTTCTAATAAACTAATTCATATAATTAATTTGGACTATTTTAAGAATTGTAAACATCTAATTCTTCCACAAATGATAGAGAGACTTGTTAGTTCGGTTGGATGATTGTGTTCATTGGGCTGGTTGGTTCAATCGCTAAGATTTCCTTGTCTGTCTAGTCAACAGCTTTGGAGTAAACTTCTTCATGGTACAATAATTAACCGACAAAACCCATAGTCCCTTATTTAGTACCTAATTATCAATTTTAGTTCAACTAAGATTGACTTTACACGACGAAATAGTATCTGTGGATATCTACAAGTGAGTAACAGAAAATTTCATTTGACATTTTGAAGGATTTTTTTCTCCACGTCAAAAAATTATGCCTACACACTAATCATCAGTCGAACAACACAGGGAGAAACATTCACATTTAATATATTGAAATCTGATTGGCTATATATCTTATTTTTGAGTGATTATCCTCTTGTAGAGTGATGTCAACATAAAAAGTATATCTGTTAATCATGCATGATAAGTATAATGAAGATGGATGACTTTTAAAGCGATTCCTGATTTCTGAAGCATACAATAATAAGTTAAAGGATTTGCAAGCACGCCTCTTGATCACCCCTGGGATCTTTAGACATCCTGTAGTAGTTCACAATCTATATGTAAAAGCACATCTTAATAGCTAGAGGGCATCAATTTTAATTATATAAGTTCTCATAAAGCAAAGCTAACAATAAAACTAACTTGTCTGTTATATTCACATCTGCATCAGCTTCAAGGCATAATTCACAAACCACAGAATTACCAGTATTGGAAGCACCTAGTAGAGGTGTAATACCTTCACTATCTGATAAGTTAGGATTGGCACCATGATTTAAAAGGGATGCAACAATATCAGAATGTGCATCGGACTTTTGTACACAGAATGCAGCAACATGTAAAGCTGTACGACCATCTGAATCAGAATGATTAACATCAGCCCCTTCATAAGATAAAAAGAAACAAGAAATAACAATACAATGGGGATATATATACATATCATTGCTTTATAACGTTAACAACATGAGTGTAATGATATTCAGAGTCAACTATTTCAACTCAAAATGTTCTCTATATCGTAATATATGTTTTCTTAAAACCGTAAGAAAATTATACGCAATTTGATGTAAAACAGTGTATATCAGAAAATACCAGTCTTATTGTTTCAAGTTAATAAATAAATTAACGGTTAACGTGCCACTGCATTTAGATATAATAAATGTGGCGGACTGGATTATGCGTCAGACTGTGAATGAGAGTGAGAAGACAGCAATACGTTGGACCACCAATAAGAAGACTCTAGAAGATCTGGATTTCGCAGATGACTTGTGTCTAGTGTCACGCAAACCCGAAGACTTACAGGCGAAAACCAGTAAACTGGCTGAAGAGGCTGATAGGCAGCGAAGATAGGACTGCAGGTGAACATAGGGAAGACGGACGTGATGAAGATAACCATCGAACATCAACAACAACTACAACCAGCACCAATCACCCTCGACAGGAGAGATTCAACAGAGGTTATTTCCTTCACTTCAACTACTGAAGGAACGGATGAAGATGTCAACACCAGAATTAGAAAAGTAAGATACGCCTTCATCATCCTGAAACCAGTTTTGAAATCGTTTGCACTGCACTCAGCCAGCATAAAGAACAAGATTCGCATTTTCAACTTCAATGTCAAGTCAATTAGTTCTTCTGTATGTGTGTGAAACATGACGTGTCCCGAAATGCATTTTCAACAGCCTCTTGCAGACCTTCATCAACAGCTGCCTTCGCTTGCTCCATACTGAAGATCGAATAGCCAGCCGACAAGATAAGTTTAGTAGCAAGAAACTCTGGCTGGGAACAAACCAACCAGAGCCGATAGCTCAACAAACATGCAGGAGAAAATGGAGATGAACTGGGCACACGCTGAGGAGGTCACTGAATGAAATCATGCTCCAGGCCAGTATCCGAGTAGAATCCCAATGGGAAGCGACGAGTGTGTCGTCAGTGCAAGGGTGACATGGAGAAGATTAGAGATTATGGGCAAACGTGGACCCAGTTAAACAGGACATTGGAAAATAGAACAAAGTGGAGACGTGTTGTTGAAGCCCTATTTTCCACTCGGAACCCAAGGGAGTAGTAATAATAATTATTATTACATCTAAAATAGATCTTTTGACTGCTGACAGTAAAGTGAGCTTAAAGGTTAAAGACATGTCTCAGTAATTTTTTTATTATTTTTTTTATTTTGATTTACAGCTTGATTCCACACCGTATTTTCAGTACAAGTGTGGAATTTTCAGCATGGATATCGGTAGCCCAAATTCAGGCCGACCATAGATATCGGGTGTGCGCCGGCAGGGGATCGAACCTCGGACCATGAGCATGGTCGGCGAGAGTCCTAACCACTGTGCCACCGACGCTGAGCAAATGACGCGTAACTGTCTATTTAACACAATCATACCAGTTGCTTACTTACTTTTTTACCTGTAATAAATAGTAAAAACAGGATCAGGTTGTTACCTCTTGATAAGAATATGGGAAGCTGCTCATAACATCAGAATCGATTTGTCAGTTCAAGGCAATCTCAGGTAGTCTCATCAAAAATTGTACGATAGTGATAAAAGTACGCGAAATTGAAATACGTAGACTTAGAATAACATGGTAATATAAATATAAGAAAAAAATCTGTTTTTTACCTATTTGTATGCAGTATTAACTCTTATTCGCCAAGAGATATGACATAGCCAGATACTTAAACGCTTTAACTATTCAGTTTGCGATTGGCCAAATTTAGATCTGGGCCGCACAGAGGTAAAATTAGCTCAACATTTAGATAAATAAATAAACTGAGTATAATGTTAAATGAGTCCAAATTACTCTCCAACCTAAATGGATTGTTGTCGGAAAATAACTTAGCTGTGTGCAATGCAGTAGATATTTTAAAATGAAGTTATGAACTGTTACCCTAAAGTACAAGGGTTGCTTCAAACACCTCCAGTAAACTGGGATGTTATAGCAACTAGCGTGATAAGATAGATAGCTAAGCATAAACAATTTAAAGTTTGACAACGGATTGATGTGAATTAGAGAACCATTAGAAATCAGGATGTACTGGATAGCCGTTTCTTCCTAGTTTGGGACTTGTCGGCAGTACCCACCCACCGGGGTTTGAACCTTCCTGTAACAGATCAAGCTCGTAGACCATTCAGCCACTGGAATCCGACTCAATAGTTTATGAGTTCCAAGTTCTACCAATTCATGAGCTTAGAGCGACTGCCAACCAATGTCATCGGGAAGTAATTGTCCCCTCATCCAACTTGGTGGAGCCCACTGGTCACTACTTCTCAGCAGAACTCCAGGAAACTTCTTCCTGTAGCCAATCACTAGCGAGCATCAGATTAATTTTCGGAAGTTATTTTGTAGGCATCTGATTTGTTTCAAGTTCGACTGATATCGATTCGTAATCAAACTTGGAACAAATCAGATCCCCACACACCAACTGTTGAAAATAAACAGTTTAATAGACTAAAAGATGTCTTCTATGATTTCAAATCCTGAAAAACAAAAATTATCACTCATGAAAACCTCAATGAATTGTAAAAACAGTAGTGAACTATTACATAACACGTTATTATTCAACCTTGCATTTCCTATTTAAAACACTAAACAAGTCGTGAGGTGAACCAATAAATTCTGAGCGCCGTTTGTTAAACATTCCAGTTGACTATGCAACTACAAAAATACTTTGCGCAGACTTATTTTTCGTTTGGCATATAGATTTTTGTACAAATACAGCATTTCTGTTGTGTTTTTTTTGATTGTCTGTCTTGTGCCAAATTTCTGTCCCATATCAAGAAAATAGTATTATTTGTAGTACATAGTGTTTGGCTATGATTCTTAGCGTATTTTCAAACAGTGGCACGGTTATTAAATACAGACAGGTATAATATCAGTTGCACACCTGCCTCCAAATAAAGATAGAAATAAATGACTTTATCGAAAACAAAATTTAACTTCATAATCTAAATTATCCTGGTATGCATTATTGCACTGAAATAGATATCCTATTCTAGTAAGTTGGATTTGACATGAAGCTGAAAGGATTTTTTGGTTCCTACTTAAATAACTTATTTAATCGATAGCCAATAAGATTATGTTTTTAAAATAAACTTTACTAAATATAAGTGTAGATTTCATCTTCCAATAGAAGATGATTTTTGAAGGTTGATAGATTTTCACTAATGTGAAAGGGATAACTGGAGACTGGGAGATTATTTAACTCATATTGATTGGACAATACAGGATATAATGATTTCAGTGATAATATACAAAATGAACTGAATGTAACAACAGAATAGTTATTTTGCCCCAGTTAATCGTGCTAATTCACACCTTATAAATCATTGAAAGTAGGGCAATCAAATATATATCGAAAAACCCTTTCCATTACACAACGCTGTTAAATTTCCTATGGCTTATTTCGCAAAATAAAAAGCTTTCTTTAATTTCTGTTTATCACAAGCAAGATAGTGAATGTGAAAGAATTTTAATTAGATTTTCAATGAAGTTCCTTGCAAAATCAAGTAATCATGTAATACTGGTCTATGAAGACTAGTGATAGAACTCAGGAGGCTGATTTCGTCCCATTTTGGGTTCGTCAGTCGAACACAGCTGTATTCCCAGTGAGTGACAGTGTTTCTAATGGGAATCAAACCCTCCACCCACAGTTTCAAACATACTAGGAGCCAATATGTCAACAGAGACCGGGCATTTTGACTCAGAAACGCAGACCGTAATATTAGTTGACTGCTGGTTCCTTCTGACTGGTTGGTTGCTAACTAACAAAGACTCGTTATTCACTTATGGTACTTTAACACACGGCTGTATATAACTGACAGCTCGAATGCTGTTTCCACACCAAGAAAACAGAAGGTAGACTGGGGAGTCAAGATTTATTCTTCCACTAAAAAGACCAGTAACCAGATGTGACAGCTTTTTATATCGTTTTCTTGCATGCACAGTAGCTTATAAGTTTATTGTACAAAAATCGTACTGTGATTGGTTAACAAAATACCGGTAAAAATCCGGTGACGTAACCTTTGGTTTAGGTTAAGGTTGAGTGTTTAGTCCACAGCTTAAGTAGAAAACACTAAATTTCTGCACACCAAGTTTATAATATTTAAACAAATAAACTTTTAGAAGAAACATCAAATCGAGCGACGAAATGTATTTCTTTTCGATTATGTACTCATCAAATATTCTACACTAATTAATAATTTAACATTACATTTTCTTTCCAGAGAAACTGAAGAATGGCACTCTGAAATATGTAATAAATCGCCGTCATGTGGATGATACGTTTATAATGTTAAGCAGCGAAAGTTAGACGAAGTGCATATTAGAGAAATTTAACAAACCCCATCCGGGTATAATTTTTATCAAAGTTGAAGAGCAGAATATTTCTTTCGCATTTTCTGATATTCCACTAACAAAATGAACAGATAGAACAATAAGCAGAAGCATACAGTGCAAACCTAAATCACCTGGACAATATACTCACTTTTTGAATTCCGTCCCTCTACAATACAAACGAAACCTGTTTGAATGCTTAGTTCACCTTCCAAGAGCTATTTGTATACATGAAACACTAAACTAAGTACTCCATAATATCTGTGGTATGCTGAGCACAGGTGGATATCTGGTGAAATTTTTGAATAAATATGTGGATTTAGAAAGCACTGAACTCAGGGTGTCTACAGTTCCAAAAGAATCAGTGTTCCTGAGACTGCAGTTCATGAAAGATGTCAACAGTAAAGTTGTATCAGAAAAGTCTTGGAAAGGACTTTTAATGCAGCTGGATTATTCTGTTCATTCACCAGTCAGCCAATGCTTAGTTCACGAAATAAAAACAAACTGCCTAATTTCACCTCCTCCATTTGTATTTACCCACTTAAC